GCCCGTCGGTGCTTCAAGCCGGTGCTGTGACGGTGCCACCGCGCTGCGTGTCCACCAGAGTTTCTATGTGCTATGGTCGTGGTAGTGTAGAGAAGACAGAGGAAGGAGACCACGTAGCATTGACTTTCATCGACGGTTAAGGATGCCTAGATCGTACGGTCCAGGAGGTGGATGTTGTTTTTTTTTTTTTTGAATGTCGGCCCTTTATTGACTAAAAAACAAAGTCATACAAAGCTTCCTGGATACACTCCGGAGCAGAATTGAAAACACAAAGACCAGAAGAGTTAAAACAAGACCTAGCTAAAACATGAGCCAACACATTACATTGCCGACGAACATGCAAAAACGAAACCGAGGAGAAGCCTAGAGGTGGATGTTGTTTGCTTTTTCTACATCCGGATGGCGCCTAGCAGCCACCTTTATTTTTCCTGCATGCTTGCCGTGTCCTGCGCTAGATTTTGCGCTGTCTTCTACAGGTGTTGCCGCATTGTTTTTCCGTCCTCACCGCCTTAATCGTTTTTTTTCTAGAGATGCTCCTTCTGGACTCTTTGTTGTTTATTTGATTTTTCTTCTGTTGTTTCTCCGCCTTATAAATAGGCTCCTCTTCTGCCGTTTTAGTTTCATAATCTGGGCTTCATTTGAGCTGCCTTCAATGGTTCATTCTTCCTCTTGTGGAAATGGCCCGCGCCGTGCAGGTCGTCCCCGCGGGGAGCGTGCCTCGGCTGTTGGTCGTCGTGGTGCCGGAGGTCACCATGATGGTCGCCGCGCTCAGCAGGGTGGATATGGTGGATTTGCAATCATCGGGCCTTCATTTACTTCCTCCGGGTGGTGGTGCCGCTCGGTCTGCTGTGTAAGTTTGCTATATTGCTTTCGTTGCCTTACAAGTACAAGAGGAGGGGGGTACATATAGGTTGCTGGCGCAACAGGACTAGAGTCGTGGAGATGATCGTGTGCTTGATCGTGGGCCGATGGGAGGAGACCGAGTCCATCGGTCTAACACCCTCCCCCTCCCCCCCCCCCTGCAGTGTCAGCGGCGGCGTCGACGACGTTGAGACTGGAGCGGATGGCGATGAAGGATGCAGACGGCAGCCCCTTGGTGAAGATGTCAGCAAACTGCGCCGTGGTCGGTACATGAAGAACACGGACTTCACCTAAAGCTACCTTCTCTCTTACAAAGTGTATGTCTATCTCTATGTGTTTGGTTCTACGATGCTGAACAGGATTACATGACATATACACAGCGGACACATTATCACAATACACAATTGTAGCCTGTTGGACTGGGCGTCGGAGCTCGGTGAGGAGTTGGCGAAGCCATACTGTTTCAGCGACAGCGTGCGCAACAGAACGATACTCGGCCTCCGCAGATGACCTGGAAACAGTTAGTTGCCGCTTGGACGACCATGAAATCAGATTATCACCCAAGTAAACACAGTATCCCGACGTGGAGCGACGTGTATCCGGGCACCCCGCCCAGTCTGCATCAGAGTATGCGGTGAGAGACGTAGGTGAAGAGGGAGTGATCGTGAGGCCATAATCAAGTGTGGATTTGAGATAACTAAGAACACGACGGACATGGTTCATATGCGGAACACGGGGATCATGCA